AATTTTTGTCTTAGTGCCATTCGATAGTACAAGTCGAGCTTTCCCAGTGTTTCCCTGAAAAAGCTCGACGTATATTATTGAATGGCACCAATAAAAAGAATTCAGGGATCAAAATGAAATTTAAGGTTAGACCCTTTTTTACACTCAAGGTTCTACACTGTAGCAATTCTGACGTCACATCTGTTCAAATTTTCATGTAGAAGGTACAATCACGCGGAGTTCAATCATTTAAATTGTTTCAAAGTGGAGTACTTGATTTGTTCGTCGTTTTTTGTTCAATTTTCGGAATGGAATTTCTCGTTAATTAGAAGAATTAAAAAAAATCTGATATTATTGGAATATTCGTCAAACTGTATCATATCGATGTGCTGAATCAGTGTACTCATTTCAGAAACACCTCGTATATAGATAAAACTAGCTCGCTAGTGGAGATTGCAGCAAAGTAAAACTGAACTCATTACAGTTTTTCCGAGCTTTCGGAAATGTATATTTCCATCTTCAGGGAGACTACAAATTGAATTTAATTTTTGTACTTGGACAATAATATTGAGGAATGCTCTATTGGTACTTACACTTTTTGAGGATGATTACAACGGTGTTAAAAAAATTCGAAGGTCGATGTAACATTTTTGGACATATCAGTGTCACGAACCATTCAATATACTTGTAAAAGACGAAAGACGGTTATAACATATTTTTTTACACCATTCAAAAATAGTTTCACCACAAATTGAAACATTGAAAATCTAGTTAACGTTTATACCACGTTGGTTAATTCTGAGGTTATTCTCTTCTTCCTCACGTCTGCCAGCTCAAGGAGTACTCTTTCGACTAGGAAGAGGGTAGTCATTGCTGACTAGTTAGGAAGAAACTAGGGAGTATTGGGGACTGCAGCAAAAATCAAGAGATTAATCTTTGAAGTTTGTCCAAGCTTCCGAAAATCTTTATTTTCATCTTCAGGGATACTGTAAATACATTATTTATGATTATCATGCTTTTGAGATTATCAAAAGATAATTGTTACTTACAGCTTTGTTGAGTATGGCTGACATATGTTCATGTTTAATTTCCTTGTTACCATTATTCATGAAGAAATTCTCGAAGAAATGTTTTTTCTGGGAAATATCACAACACTGATAAAGGGTATCAATAAAATGTGCTACAAGACATTGGCATGGCACTTTCTTGTAACTTTTAGAAGTCTATCTGACATTCCTATGTATTGTTTACTGGTGTCTAGGACACGGTTTTAAATGTGTTGTCATGGTGACGGGATAATCTCGCATTGCAAACTTCGATCTGCAGTGCAATAAACCGCTGTAATTTTTCGATAACTGCATTGCTCTCATGAAATATTTTATATAAATTAGGAAAATATCCGATTGAACATTCCGAAAATTCTGAAAGAATTTTAAGATATCAATGAACTTGCATGTTTATATTTTTGATTTATGGCGAGTGTCACCAAAGTGCAGCAGCACCATTTCGTTTGTACACGGAGGGAGGTGTCTTGACACAAGGTATTTGAAAGAATGAATAGGAGGTTATGTGGAAAGGCCTGTATCACCCTGGACAGTCAATAGGGCCCATTCTCTGTGTGAGTTTTTGAACTTCGATATCTTGTTAACTTCGATAACTTTTATTATATGAACAATTTTTACTGCTTTTGTCGATTTCGATGAGATCTTCATGCTGTTAAAAACATGCCTCGCCGTAGGTTAATCTTCAGTTTCTACACTACAATATAAAAATCATTCGACATGAAATTCCATTATCTTCCTAAGCTACCTCATCAACACCTCATGAAATAAAAAAAAAAAGATTTTACTCCTCAGACAGAAAGTACAACTTCCATATCTCAACTGTATTTATCAACTGTGAAATTAGAATACAACGAATCATCAAGAATCAATAATGTATCTGCATCTATCAACCGGGTAGACCTTGAGTTCATGAATGATGAATAAATGGATAATGAATAGTATTCCACAGCACAATCGATTGAATGAATCAATACTCATCACCTATGATTAGTTTTCAATATTTATATGGACGTGTCTAATATTTATTCATATATCCATCGTCTATTGCAGGCATTCGTTCTTGTTCATCAAGCTACATGTCATAATCTGGTATAAGTATACAAACATTGTTTTCCACCTTTTATAAGGTGCAATTGAAAGGAATTTTCAAAGAAGCCAAAAAAAGCCATTCAATATCGAAGTTTTTTAAAGCTGTATGAAATTAGTTCATCTCCAACTGCATTGTAGTGGTTTACAACAGATGAATAGTGATGGTTAGGTAAGAGGTCTTATGACAATAAGCTACCTGAATATAAAGAATAATCGAACTAGATCTCATAACTAGGACATCTTACATGTACAGAGTCGCCCGAGGAGTCGCCCCAATTGTCAGCAGGAGCGAAATAGTACTGTTTCGGCACGCCAGGTCTCATCAGTCGCTCTCGGTCTGCAAACAACTGAGACAACTGAACGCTTCGAGTATATCACCCTTTACAAAGATTTAATAGTAATGCAATTGCCATCTAGTGGCGTTAGTTCTAAGGTAGGACCAAATGAGCAGTAATGTCCCGGTCCTGTTGACAATTGAGACAACTTTGTTCATCCTCATCTCTCAGTTATGAGCAATGAACCCAATAGATTATGAGATCTAGTTCAATGAATAGGATTGGTTGATCTTCCACTCAAGTATAGTCAGGTAGTAACACTTTGCAACGTTGTAGGGGCCTGCACGTGCTGACTTCAGATGGCAGTGTCTTACAGTGTATGACGTGACCGCATGGTCCTAACTAACGCCACTAGATGGCAATATCATGACTATACTGCCGTGCTAAGCGCAGAAGCGGTAACTGACATTTTCAAGGAAATTGGGATATTTGCTCCACGTAAATGTATGACTCGAAATCTGTCTAAAACTAGAGTTTCATAGCGGTAAATACCTTTTTTCTATTTTTATTTTGAATTTTAAATAGCGGTATCTACCTACTTTCAAATATTGTTAAAAATTCACTACGGTGTTAGGCGGTAATTATCATTTGCTTGGGCATTGCAGGGGTAATTACTGCACATACCGCTCAAATATATTAGCGTTTGTCAAATACGCCCTACATACTTAAGTTTTAATGCATTTTTCGCGCAAACGGCTCAGTAACATCAAGGTGGTTGGAGGATGAACATCGCTGAAGTGTTTAAAAGTACACGGTGCGTTTTTTTTAACGTGGTATTCCCTGTAGGTGTAACACTTAGGTACTAAAATTATTTGTGGCAAAGGCCAGACGAACCTGGCTCGTTGATTTCCATATCTTCAACAGGGAAATGGTTACCTCAACATCAGATTCGATGTCAATTTCCTTGAACTCGTCGGATTCTCCTTCTGCAGTCAATAAAGAATCATCAAGCAGCGAATGGAGGTCTTCTTCATCGCATTCGTCCAGTGTAACTTGCTGATATTTTCATAAGTTTTCCCTTTGCATACACCGCAAATCATTGAACATCTCAATCCTGCTCTCCTGCATCCGCAGGCTCTACCACAAGCCGCCTTGCACTTACAATATAGGGAAAAGAAAGTTGTGCTCTGGAAGCAGGATGTTTTGAAGTTGTTACTGGAATGAGACCAGTTTGTGTTTTCTTCCAACCCCATTGTTCAAGTACTTTCGGACAGCCACGCCATAGTGGAACCTGATATTATGATCTCAATGAATGCTGTCGTGAAGCTGCGCTTGTTGGTGGTGAGGATGCCAAAGTGAATGTACTTTTTGTTACCGACTTCAAAAAACACTGGTATTGATATTCATCAAGATTGATATTATTTGTCACTCCAGTAACTACTTTGGAATATCCTGCTTCCAAGGCACTACTTGCTTTTTTATCTTGTAAGTGCAAGGTGACTTGTGGTAGAGCCTGCGGATGCAGGTAAGCAGGACTGAGATGTTCAATGGTTTGTGGTGTGTGCAATGGAAAAACTTGTGAAAATATCAGACAAGTAATAGACGAATCCGATGAAGAAGACCTTCTTTCGCTGCTAGAAGATTCTTTATCGACTGCAGAAGGAGAATACATTTTCCCCGTTGAAGATATGGAAATCAACGAGCCAGGTCCGTCTGGCCTCTGCCAAATATGATTTTATTACCTAAGTGGAACAGTGGAAACAGGGAAAACCACAAAAAAATGCACCATGTCCTTTACTTACCTCCTGGGTGGTGTGTAAACAAGAACAGCATTTTAAATCGAAATTAATTGATTATAAATTATTAACATGAATCAATGAATGAATCAATCGATTTATTGAATGAAAGATGTTTCGTGATGAATATTGATGTAGTTCTGAAATATTAGATTTGGGAACCCCTGATACAAAATATACTAGGAACATATTTCGATAGTAATTTCTCTCTAGTCAGCAATCTATGAATATAAAGAGGAACCAATTGAATAGCTCATTATATTATAAAAGATGAATTTATGAGCATATATGGAGATAGTCAAGGGCATTTTATGAAGATTAACAAAATATGTTGTCATTCGATCTGCTCTTGAGCCTAAACGGATCTCTTTAGCAAAAATTACCTAAGAAAATTAGGAATTTGTGGGAATCTTTCCCCTTCAATGTTTCAACATATTTTTCCTCGTATTTTTCCGAAAACCACACAGTTTTGGAGATATTTTGCAAAAATCCGTTTTTCGGCGCCATCTTGGCAAGATATTGTATATCATTATATTTCAGTACTTACCGAAATTTGTTCACTGCCACAAAGCGTTTTCTCCTCAGAGCTGTACGTGTTCCGAATTATTATTGATATTCACGATATTTCGCTACGCTCGGCTACGAACTATCAGCCGCGGCAGTCAATCTATCACTTTGCCACCTTGTAAACCAAATAACGATCTCCCATAACGTTCCAAAACTCCCCACGAAACGAAAATTCCCCATTCATATAACAACACTGCACAAGAACCTCAACAAACCGTTCCTCGTTCCAGACGTGACCTCGGAGCAGATCCTGGCCCAGCGACTGGCCGAGCTCCAGGTGCGCATCCAGTACCTCGACTCCATGTACAGGTCCAGGCAAGAGGACCTCCAGCAGATGTCACAGCACCTCGACCAAGCCTACCTCTCCGACAACAGCTCCACCCTGCTGCCCTACCAAGCGGAGCTGCGGCCCGAAGTGAGACAGCTGCTGAAGAACATGACTGGGCTGCACGCGGCATCGGGGGTCAATCCTCCAGTAACTCTCAGGCTACCATCAGCCTACCACTTCCTGCCTCACCTGTTGGACGATCCGAATAGCCTCCGGCTGGGGTACTGGCTGTCGAGGAACAGGAATGGGGTGTCCGTGGTGCTAGGGGTGCCTACGGTGAGGAGGGAGAAGCAGAGCTACCTCATCGATACGCTGCAGAACCTGGTAGAGGGATTGAGTGTGGAGGAGGCGGAAGATTCGCTCATTGTTGTGTTTGTTGGTGAGGTGAGTTTACGCAATAGACTCTTTCCCTGTTTTCTGTTTTCTCCATAGTCGATCTGTTTCCACCTTGCTTGCTCGAGAAGCAACATCATCTCGCTTAGGAAGCAAGATCATCTGGCCTAATAAGCAGGGACATCTTGTTCTTAATCAGGATCATCTTGCTTAAGAAGCAAGATCATCTCGCCTAAGAAGCAGTACCATCTTGCCTAAGAACCAATATCATCTATCCTAAGGAACAACATCATCTACCCTGAGAAGCTAGATCATCTTGCATAAACAGCAAGTTTCATTTCTTGGGCAAAAGATGTAGGGCCAGTATGTATCTTTTCAATTTTTCTCGAGAAATTATATCATATTTCTTGGGAAACCAGATCGTCAGGTCTACTTAGCAGGAACATTCTACTTCTTGAGCAGGATCATCTTGCCCAAGAATCAACATCATCTCGCCTAAGAATCGTCTTGCCCTCGAAGCAACATCACCTCGCCTTATAAGCAACATTATCTTCCCCAAGAATCAAGACCATTTTGCTTGAACAGCAAGTTTCACTTCCTGGGCAAAATATGGAGGGCCAGTATATGTATCGTTCCAATTTTCCTCGAGAAATGAGATCATCTTGCTTGAGAACCCAGATCACCTTCCTTTAAACAACATCATCTTGCTTGAGAAATAATATCATCTGGCCTAATAGTCAGGATCAACTTGCTCGAAAAGCGAGATCATCTCGCCTAAAAAGCAGCACCATCTCGCCTAAGAACCAAGATCATCTATCCTAAGAAACAACATCATCTGCCCTAAGAAGCTAGATCATCTTGCATAAACAGCAAGTTTAATTTCTCGGGCAATACATGATGGGTCAGTATGTAACTTTTCAATCTTGCTCGAGAAATAAGATTATATTTCTTCAGAAACCAGATCATTAGGCAGGAACATTTTACTTCTTAAGCAGGATCATCTTGCCTAAGAATCAACATCATCTCACTAAGAATCGTCTTGCTCTAGAACCAACATCTTCTCGCCTTAGAAGTAACATCATCTTCCCCAAGAAGCAAGAACATCTTGCTTGAACAGCAAGTTCCATTTCTTGGGCAAAAGATTAAGGGCCAGTATTTACCTTTTCAATTCTGCTTGAGAAATAAGATCATCTTGCTTGAGAAACCAGATCATCTGGCTTAACAAGCAGGAACATCTTGCTTCTTAAGCAGGATCATCTCGTCTTAGAAGAAACATCATCTTGACTTAGAATCAACATCATCTTTCCAAAGAAGTAAGACCATATTGCTTGAACAGCAGGTTCCATTTCTTGGGCAACATATGGAGACCTAGTATATGTATCTTTTCAATTTTGCTTGGGAAATAGGATCATTTTACTTAGGACCCTAGATCATCTTTCTCAAGAAGCAACATCATCTTACCTAAGAAGTTGTATCTGGCCTAATAGGCAGGATCAACTTGCTCAAGAAGCGAGATCATCTCGCCTAAGAAGCAGCACCATTTCGCCTTCGAACCAAAATTATCTATCCTAAAAATGCAACATCATCTACCCTAAGAAGTTAGATCATCTTGCATAAACAGCAAGTATCATATCTCGGGCAGAAGATGTATCTATTCAATTTTGCTCGAGAAATGAGATGATCCAGCTTGAAAAACCAGATCATCTGGCTTACCAAGCAGGAACATTCTACTCCTCAAGCAGGATCATCTTGCCCTAGAAGCAACATCATCTCGTCTTAGAAGCAAGACTATTTTGCTTGAACAGCAAGTTCCATTTCTTGGGCGAAATATGGAGGGCTAGTATATGTATCTTTCCAATTTTTCTTGATAAATATTATCATCTTGCTTGAGAACTTAGATAATCTGTCTAAAGAAGTAACAACATCTTGCTTAAGAACTAATATCATCTGTCCTAATAAGCATAAACAGTAAGTTTCATTTCTTGGACAAGTTCTGGGGGGCCAGTCAGATCTCATTGTTCAATGAGCAAGAACCGTCATATTGCTTAATAGGCGAGGTCATCTTACTTCAAAAGCAAGATTATCTTGCCTAAGCGAGATTATCTTATTAAAACAAATTTCATTTCAGATCTTGTGGTGTGCACTTTTTTAATATTGATTAAGAAACATGATCATCTTGCTTCAGAAGCAAAATTCAATTGTATTCGCCTTTTTACTAGTTTCTTTAATTAGAACGACAATGCATTTCAGAAATCAGTATACCACAGAGTCAGACTCATGGTATACTGTCCTTTTCTCCTCTCTGTTTCTAGCTCTATTTCTGCAATTTGGAACTTTCCCACATTTTAGGATTTTTTTCATCTTTTCCTGGAAACGACATCAACTTTTGATTTCCAAATGGTTAGGGATTATTAAAACCAGGTTCGATTTGGGTTCTTTCAAACGGTTACAAAAATATTCCCGTTCAGAGTTTCCGTATTCATAATAAGTGTGACGCCGCACGCAGAAAAGAGAATTGTAGTATATCTTACCACCGAACATAAACAGAGACTATGTTCGGTGATCTTACCATATATTAGGTATTAATAGGGACAATCTTTCGCCGCAGAAAAATATACTCAATGAATACATTGAATCAACCTGATCGTCTGTTATTAGGCATCGTGGTAAAACTAAATGCAAAAAGTTGAAAACAATCAACACAGCATCGTGGTATAACTTACTATGAATATTTTCAGAGGAACACCACAGAGGGAGTATTTGATACTATGACCAGCTATTGAATCTCATTTTGTGATTTTCACCAATCCAGCTGTTGATTTCGAGTGCTGAATTGATTACCATAGGTAATAGATGGTAATAGTGAAGTATATGTCATATCTAGATTGCAGCACCATTGGCATAGATTTCAATCAGATTATATTCATGTTAAATATCAATTTCTAAGTATTTTATTCGACGATCTATTGTCTTCTATATTTTTGAACATCAGCTCCAGGAAAAACTGTATATAACATTTTTTTTCACATCGAGCGAAATTCATATCTATTCTGAAAGATTGGAAAACTGATGCTATATGTATGCATATATATTTTTTCACCTCGTTCCTGAATTCATAAAGAACAATTTGACTATCATATGAATAATTATGTTATCTTTATATGGTGGAATACTGCCTATTGAAATTATCATTTCTTCAATATAATGTTCTATGATTGTTATATCGAATTATCGATATCTTAAATGGAAAAATTTTAATGAGTAGATATGAATAATAAGACTAGTTTGATCATGCCATCATGCGATATATTATGAATACTTATAGTATACCTACAGCCTTACTTACATAGTATACCCACCTACCTATTATACAGGGTGATTTACGGTGGATGACACATTAGACGTTTCTGGAGAACGCAACTCAGGATTATCCGAAAAGTTGGTGCCTTGGATAATCAGTTGTATTCTATCGACCTGAAATATTCTCAGCGTTGCGACGTTGCCGCTTATATTACAAAGGAAAACTGTAAGATGGAAAAAAAATCCTAGTCCTAGTCCAAATATCAGAAACATAGCTAGAAAAACAAAGGAGGAAAGGGTGGTATAGGTACCATGAGTTTGTGTCACTTGTTAGAATTTTCGCAGGCTCTCTTTCTACATTTCCTTGAAAATCAATCGAATCAATGATGATCATTATTTGGCACGAATATCTCCATGGATTATGCAGGGGTGGATCCAGACGATGTTTGAGGGGAGGGTCATAGAAAGTCACGGCTCAATAAGGTTTTTTTTTCTTTATGTTCCGGTTCCCACAAAAAGAAATATCCTGTAATGTTCAAAGAACATCGTGAGAATCGAGGGAAATGAGGTGGGGATTGGTGTTCTTCTTAAATTTCTGGAGGTTATATGCCTCGGGGAACACCTCCATTGGCAATGTGAAATTTTATGGTTACCTTCTGAGACGAATGCTTTCTCATTAAAAAAATGTATACTAATAAACATGGGATCTTAAGTTTCCTTTCAAGTATCGAATAAAAAAATCAAGTTCAAACTATTCGATTTAATCCATCAATATATATAGAATTCTGCAATAAATCATATTGGATGAAAAAAGGGAAAAAAATTTCTCTCGAAATACTTGAGTACAAAAGTAGAAAAAAATATTCCTCTTCAAAAACAAAACAGAAGAAACAGACAAATATAAAAATATATATATAGAATAAAGAATCAAATTTTAAAAAATGAATAACAAATTCCAGTCTTCTATTCTTCTGACTAGCGTATCTTTGGATGATATCATCAACATTTAGATATTCAACCTGTCTTGAACCATTCTGGATCTTATTCAATCTTTCAGCCTTCTGAGTGCTGAAAAACTCCTTTGAGAAGATGCAACAATTATAGGCAGGCAACATAATTGTTCCAGAAGAATGTTTATGTTAGGAAACAAATGTTTGTGACATTCCTTCAGAACATTTATACCATGGTCTAGTATATTTTGCTTAGTATCCCACATTTTCTTCCATATATACATTTCAGAAACGATCTTCTGAGAGGAGGACATATCATCATTCTCCCAAAAAATGGTCGGGAACTGTTCAAGTTTATTTCTCATACCTTGATATATTTCCTCATCTGTTTTGTTTTTTGTTATTGATGGTACACATAGGTGATCGAAGGATCTATTGGTCATCCACTGAGGAAACCGAAGGATTCTCCCTGTTATTATATATTTAGTTTGGGTCCCAAGTGGATAGCTATAGATACATGCATTCATTTTTTCAGTTATTCAAAAAACCTACATTTTTACATATCCATGAGGTTCCCGAGGGGGGGTGCATGGCCCCATGCCCCCCCCCGCTGGATCCGCCCGTGGGATAATGTGAGTTTTTTGTGTACTGAGTTATAATAATTAAATACTGTCTGTAGGTGATATTTCTAACGGCATCTAAACATCCTGTGTTACAAAATTCGAAATTGATAATTATATTTCGACTAATCTGTTCTTCATGACAAAGATGAGGGTCATCTTACGGGTTTTCAATCTTCAG